AGGAAGTTCAGAGCCAAGCACACCCCGCCACATTCTGACACACAGGTTTTCAGAGATGCACCGCTGACTCTGCGCGCCAGGAACCTTCTCTTCCTCCACTGCTGATGCCAGGACTGAAGCCCTGCCCCTAGCTGGAGCTTCCTGGAGCTGCAAAGCCAGGAGAAACTTATCTGAGCATTAAAGCCAAAGCTCTCCACTTACATGGAGGCCAGAGTCCCGGAGACCAGGTAACCTGTGAGTGATGTCTGGCGTGGGTTCCAAAAGTCATAGGTCCCTTTCTTCCCGATGGATCTGTTCTGAAGCACCTGAAGAAAGAACCTGTGTACTGTTTTTCTTTAGAGAGATGTGATAACTTCTGGAATATTCAGGCTCTCATCTCCAGATCAATATTTATGATTTCCCAATCTCTTGGACACTCCAGAGAATGAAGTAAGTGATGGGGGTAATCCTGAGGGTGAGGGATCTTTGCCTTTTTAATGGAGATCGACCAGCAATCAAATGTGGGGCTAAAATTATCAGGCTGTTTCAGTGCTCAGGTCTCTCACTGGAGGCAGCAGTGTGAGATTTGTATTTTAAAATAGCTTGACAAAGTAGATCATGAGAAATGACCAAGCAACTAATAGCAATCCATGCTTCTAGGCTCTTTTGTGTTCCATCTGTCTCTCTCCCTCTCTCTCTTTCTGCTTCTCTCTCTCTCCCTCTCCCTCTCTCTCTTTCCCTACACATACACACCAAACAAAACTTCTGCCACACATAAACAATCCTTCTTTCCTGCATCCCCTTATTGATTTATAGTAATCAAGATGCACTCGATTCCAACGTTGCTCAAAGGCCTGGCAGATATAATGCCACATTCTACTCCATGGCCTTTGAACCGTCAAGAAACCATTCTAGAGATGAAGAAAAGGTATTGTAGCCTAAAGATGATAGCAATGTATGGTCCCCAATAACGGCTTGACAATGTATCTGTCTCTAATAGATAAGCAGTAAGTTCAAATCAGAGAAACTGACTTGCTACTTAAAGAAAAAAAAAATGTGCCAATGAGAAATTCAATTTTTCTACAAAAACTGTTGGTCTAGATATAGTCAGAGAGAGGTTTCAGAGATTATATGGACTTCCTTGACCATTAGCTACTGGGCCAAACTTTCCCTTTAGGCAACAAATTTACCAGAGAGTAGTGAAGGAGATACAACAACAAAAACGTTTATGGGATGGAAACAGCGATGACCTCAAGCAAACATACAGCTTTAGGGAGCTATGACCCCATTGCTTCAAGCTCCCACCGCTTGCTGGTAACAATGTATAACCCAGCTCTTCTCTTGAGCCTGAGCACTCTGAATTCCCACAAGGAAGTATCACTTTCAGAGAAGGAGAAAACCAAACACATTTCCCTGCACATTCAATGATGGGAGGTGGGAGAGAGTGGGGTCAGAAGGGTCACGGGGCTTTCTCCGTTGTTTTGCCCAGCACAACAGAGTGAGATTGAAGGTAAAAGACTCCAAATGGTTACCCTGAACCAAGGTCTTGTACATACCTCCACTGCGTAGACAGCGAGGTTTCACCTCCAGCTTGCAAACTGCATTAGAAAATAAGCACATACTACAGTTATCAATAAGCCCAGTGTGATGAGAGATGCATGGCTTCTAAGTGCAGAAAAACTGCGATGGGAGGAGGCAGAGCAAACAGCATACCAATGCCGTTGGCTGAATCCCTGTGAATGCCAGGATGTTTTCAACACAATTAATTGCGATGGCAAAGCTTATTAAGGTGCCAGGGCCAAAATCAATGTATTAATGGCACAGCATCATTGTGCTTAACCAGGCAATGGTAAAATGCACATGGACGCTGTGGCAACAGAAGCTGTGGATTCTACTTATGGTGTGCTAAGAGAAATAAATATTAGACTTGGTTCCAGTCATTGCCCCCAATTCAGAGGATATCACCCAAGACGTTCAGAAAAAAAAAAAAATCCCTACTAGCCTTCAAAAACACATGTGCTGCTAGAATGTGTGGGTTCCACAATGCGAAGGACTGAATGCTACAGACCTGGACATTGAAAAAAAAAAAAAACTTACCATGGTATGGTAAACTCGTTTTAACTAACTTAAGATGGCAAACTTAACTGTGCTTTTTACCTAACACTTGGGTGAGCCTTAACATTGCCCTTTACAATGCACTTTGGCATTTGACACAATGGGAGCCTGAATGGCCATAATCCCAATGACATTGAGCTTACATGTGACATTAGTGCTGTTTTAAAAGTAAATTTGTCACTATTGTGGCATTAGCTATTTCCAAACACCAGTGGCTGCCACTTAGCAATGGGATGCTGAGCAAGCACTCATGATCCTTACAGATCAGCTCAGCCGATAAAGAATGTAAGACATGCTGTGACACAAAGATTTCTAACAAAACGGGTTCAAACAATGACTCTGACATCATAGTGTCAAGTTGACTTCAACTCTGTGTAAACACAACATCCTATCTGTTAGCTAATCTATGCATGTATTTTCAAAAATATTCTCACAGCTTTCTCTATGAACCCTAAAGGACACAACACCATGGCTGAAAATACAGATACCAAAAAAAAAAAAAAAAAAAAAAAAAACACGTTATCTTTCAATGTATGAAGTCAGCTGTTGCTTTAGCAAGTTCTGAAGGCAGATCAGGGGCATCACTCCTGTTTCCAAAGGCCAGAGACACATAACTTCAGGGCTACACTGATGAACTAAATTGCTGGCCCAGACTATACCAGGGACAACACTGGACCAAGTAACAAAGTTTTTAAAGCATGGGATTTAGTTCCAGCTTCAGCTCGCATCCTCTGGCCAAGTTCAAACAAATGTTACCGCCTAGGAAAAGGAGCAGAGATGTGTGTTATTAGGCTGAGTGCGAAACAAACTCAACTATTGCTATCGCAGTACGTTTTACAGTTAAAGACACTCAGTGACCAACTATAAGAGCAAGCACCGCTGGGGGCTAATGTCACTGACCTCCTCCTGCATCCTGAATACTCAGCCACACAGTTCTCAGTTCCCTCAGTGTCAATGGACTTTTCAAACCAGAGGAAGGAAAATAAAGCCAGAGCGGGAAGTGGCGTGTCACGATAGAATCAACGACTGTGGATTTAGTAAACATAAATACATAAATACATAAATATTTTTTTAAAAAGGGGGGCTGCCTTTGCATAGGAAAGAAGTGGCATCTACCAGAAGAAAGCAAGCTTAGAATGCTCCGTGTGTGCATCAGGCAGAAAGCTCTGGAAAATCAGTAGTAGTTCCCTTTCCAGTTAGAAATACTTTTCTTTTTCTTTCTTTGTTTTTCAAGCTGGTCTTAAAATACTAGAGGAAAACAACGAATGTCAAGCACTGTGTCTCATTTATTTCTTCATTCAGTGTCTATCATTGAATTTTTTTTTTTAAAGCTGCAGTTTCTAGCCCTGTAAATGCACCTTTTTGGTCTCCAATCACCCGAAAGGCTCTGAGTTCCTCAAGGCCCCTCCATCTGACTGACATCCGCCTTAGAAAAACGGAAGGGCTCTGAGAAAGGCCACAGACTCTTCAGACAAGCCAGGCCCCAGACAGGCACTGCCAGGGCCATACCCAGTGTACACTTGCACTAGGCTGCTGGGCTGCTTGTCAAAGACTAGTAACCCCACACTCTGGGCTCAGCTGTTCACAGATCGGCACACCCCACTCTGCTCAGCTGTCATTTCCTTCCACCGGAGTCCTATAGCACAGTCACTGTCAGCAGAACAGGATTAGAAAGGACTCCCACTTACATCAAAAACACAAAACAGGTTGTCTTATGCCTTTGGCATTGGCGGATGCATTGGCAGAAAACACTGTTGTACATCGGGGGGAGGGGGTGCATGCGCACTCGCCAACCGGAAGGCCACAGCCCAAGCCCTACTTTCAAGGCTGTCCTTTCTCAGTCTCAAACACTGTGCTGATCACCCAGGAAACTTAGCTTTATAATCCTCTACACCGATGAATAAAACCTTGTGTTCATGAGACATAAAACGCTGGGAAAGGAAACAAGACCTCCAACACAGGTGACCTAGGAATCTAGAGAAAGGACTGTTGAATTCCTGCTTGGCAGTGTGTTTGTCACAGGACATTCAAAAGAGAAAAACACATTTCTCTGCTTCTCCATCAAGCTGGGACAAGCCGTAACCTTTCTAGGCACAGGAAGGTCCAAGGCTAAAGATACCATCCATTAGGGTACACACTGCTTTGCCATCCAGCCTAGTCCTGGAGAACTATTCAACCAGCAATTAAGATTTATAATCCAAATGGTCTCAAAATCGTATCTCTGAGAAGTCAAGTCCAAATTAAATCAGCCCAGGCTTTTAGGTTCCCATGATCGCATTTTCTCTTTTGAGCGAGTGCTTTTTGACACTCAGAACTTCTCCTCTTACAGAGCATCCTCAGAGTGTCTCTGGAAGCAATCTCCCAAGCAAAATCCGATAGATGTGATGAGAAGGGAAACCGATCAGCTCCAAACCTTAGGAAAAGACGTCAAGGGAGACACACTTGCTTTCTCCAACCGGTTTCTGAAAGCCAATAATCCTAACCTCTTTTCTGGTAAATATTACTGGAACTTATCACACAACACACACACACACACACATACACACACACACACACACATACACACACACACAGTATTTTACCAAACAAAAATGTTCCAATGTAATTATCATATATGGACAGCCTGAAACACACCCTTCAGAACTTTGAAATGAAAATGCACGTGGAGTTCCCTTCCAGGGACAGAATTCACGTGCATTTATGATTACATTTCTTTATATATGAAATGTTAGTGTCGCTCTTCACCAGCTGACAGCCTTAAGCCGGTGAAACAGACAGGTAGCTGACAAATGACATCCCTCCCGTCTCACTTCTCACAATGCTTGGGAAGGCATCCACATCCAGGGAATATGCCTGCCTGAGCCCTGAAGTGGAGTCAGGAAGAAGAAAAAGTACACGGAACTCACATTTCGGTGATGTTCTCCGGGTCAACGCTGTTAGGTTCCAGCCTTGGAAATGCCACGATGCCAGGAGAAGGCTCGGTACACCAAATCCGAGAGGCACTGCATTTGCAGGACACTGGGCAGGCAAGAGAGGCCCTCCAGAAACCCACAACCAGCCAGCATAAGCCCCAGAACCGCGCCATGGCGGGTCCATTCCACCTCGGCCAGGGCGACATCCCTCGCAGCCAGTGCCAGTCAGTCGGAGTGTGTGTCCCTACGCTGAGCCCGGCGTCCCCCGCTGGAGGGGGGAGGCCTTCCCGGCGCCCTCTTGCTGTTCTGTGCCGGTGGCCTCCCGTGGAGCGCAGTGTAACAGAGGTTGAGGCAGTCTGGGCTGAGCAGGTTGGCGCGGGCCAAACGGTTCACAGTGGCCAGGACATCGCGGGCTGCTGCTCCGAACCACAAGTCTGCTGCATGATCCCACACGCCAGCACCGCTCGGTGGCTCTCCCTGGACTCTTTCGGTCGCAGAACCGCTAAACCGGCACGGATTTCGGTGCCGGTGCGCACCTCAGGGCTGAGGACAAACAGACACGGATGAGACCAAGCGTCGTCCCTACGCACCACCAACTGGCACACAGTCCCTCCAGGCTCTCCTCACCCCCACCAGACCCAAGTCTGTAGGATGGACGTCTGAGTGCTCAGCTCCCGCCCCGGAATCAACTTGCCCCACAGTGGCCCCCCCAGTGTGCCCGCCCTCCCTCCAAGCCTGAAGCCAAGGTAGAGGTCAAGAAAGGGTCTTTGAGAGCAGATCCCATGGCACAGGCCAAGTCAGGGACCCTCTAAAAAGGACTCGGAGGCTGCAGCGGCGACGGGGCCCCAATGATGCTGCAGAATCCTCCCTGGCCGCTGGGCGCGGGAGGGGGGGCGGGCAGGTGGCGAGGCACGTCCCACCTGGGGAGCAACTGCAGCGGGGGGACGGTGCCGGCCGAGGCCACCGAGGACTGTCCCTGAGGCTCACCCGGCCTCTCGCCCCAAGCGCAGGGAGCAGAGCGCAGCAGCAGCAGCAGCAGCAACAGCAGCAGCAGCAACTGGGCTCTAACCCTCTGTCGCCCGCCGCCGCCGCCGCCGCCGCCTCTGCTACTGCTGGCGAAGTGACGTGAGGGCTGACGCAGAGCAGGGGCAGAAACTCCAGAAAATTAGTATGAAATCCAAAAACACACACGCACGCGCGCGCGCGCACACACACACACACACACACACACACACGCATAGCATAGCACCCTCCAGACAAAAGCAAGGCAGAAGGGAGGGAATCTGGGGGCGAGCAGGGAGGAGGAGGCTTGGTGCCAGCGGCTAGGCGCAGACAGCAGCATGTGGGAGTTCACACTCGCGCGCACGCACACACCTTGGCGGGGTAGTTGTGCGGTTGTGCGTGCGTGCATATGTGTGTGTGTGTGTGTGTGTGTGTACGCGCACGCGTCCTTTTAGACCCAGGTACCTCTGAAATGCAGGTTCCTTGATCCCTAATTCTTACATCTCCTCCACACCGCAGTAGAGACTAGTCCCCCCCCCCCCCTTTGAAATGGAAGCAGGGCTTGGTTAGGCTCTGAAAAAAATGCGCTGATTCTTATTGTAGGAATCCTCCCTTCCCTTCTCCCTCCCCGCTGCGTTCTCCTTTCCCACCCTGCTCAAAAGGAAAGCAGGCTATTCCCAAAATATAGGGAAGGCAAGCTACACCCCCCCACACACACACACGAAAATAAATATATAATGAGGTGCGTTGGCAACCAAGGACCATTGCCTGATTCCGGACCACCTATTTAGGGGTGGGTGGTTCCAAAGCTCTTCCTGACAGGGCTTCTGCCTAGAGAGCGGAGCCGGGAGATACAAGTGTAGCTCTGATGGGCCTTTCTCCAGCCATTTGCTCCATAGGAAGAGCCCAGTATGTGGAAGGGAGCGCGCCTGCTGCGCCGTGGGTTCCCTAAATGCCCTGCACCGACCCTGACCTCTGGAGTGGGTGGCTCCGCGTCATCCTTCTCTTATTCTTAAACCTGGCAGGGTGCAGCCATTGGAATATTACAGCTTCGCCGCTCCCCACGACACCCACCCCCGCGCGGGGCACCCAAGCCCCAGTCCCCTGCCCTGCCGTACCTTGCGCGTGTTCACGTGCGCGCGCGCATGTGCGCGAACGTATACCCTGCGCCAGCGCTGTCCCCAGAAGGATGTGTTTTCCAGCTACCGATAGGCCGGGCTCCAGCAGCGCCCAGGCGTCTCACTGGGGACACATGAGGCGATTCCGGAGGGTCGAGTGACAAACCGTAACTGCTGTGCGGGTGCAATTAAATGACCGCTAAGGGCCATTCGCAAGCCTGGTCTGAGCCTCTTCTCACTGTATGTGGCTCTGACTGTCCGCATATCCGCAGTCATTTAAAAGAGAATCCGGTAGATGCGCCGCAGTGCCTGACACTTCCGAGGGCTCTGGTGCCCCCGCGCGGGGAGAAGCAGCCCAGCACGCTCGGATGCATCGGCCCAAAGCCACCATCTCACCGGGAACTGCGCTGCAGGCGCGCTCCAATTCTAGATGCACAACCATGGCGCTGTGTGCACGTTGCTGCCCAGATAGAGCGCCTCTCATTCGACCCAGCCAATCTCCTGCCTCGGAAGTCCTCCTCGAAACACAAGGCTGTGTGCTGGAGTTCAGTTCAAGACACAAGAATGGTCGCCCACCTGCTAGCAAAGGTCAAGGATGAGAAGGATGTAGGAAACAGAGAGTGAGGGTGAATGTTTGGGTCTCAGCATAGCCTTAACATCACTAGGAAATTATATCCATCTAGCAGAGTTCTCTTCTAGATGCCACGTACCGAGTGCAGAAATATAATCCTCACACGACACTCAAACGCCTGGCTGAATGAAGCCCAGAGAAAAAGTCAACGAGTCAACCCCGTCCCTTCACTGAGTCCTGACACACGGAGGCTGGACAGGACCACCAAGCTTCAGATCACTCCTCAGTTCTGCCTGAGACCTTCGCTGTCTTAGCAAGGCACAGAAGCCAAAGGCAAAAAAAAGTCTTTGTTCAGGAGACATGGTGAAACCCCGCCTTGTGCCGCCAATGTTTTTTGGTGTTTTTTGTTTGTTTGTTTGTTTGTTTTTAGGAAGAATGTTCTGTATATATACGTGTGTGTATGTGTGTGTGTGTAGATAGATAGATAGAGATAGACAGATAGATATCATTTACTTACTGTGTATGTGTGGGCTAGCCAACCATCCATAGTACCAGCAGAGAGAAACTTACAGAAGCCAGTTCTGTCCACCATGTGTATCCTGGGATCACACATTCTCAGCACCACGTGTCACTACTCACTGAGCCATCCCACCTCCTATTGCCATCGTCTCTTAGGTGGAGAAACTCTTAGGAACCCTGAGGGGACTGCCTTCCTGCCTCATGTCCTTTGTTTTCCCAGAAAATGCCTATTTCCGTGGTAGTAACCACAGTATCGGTGCAGTATCCAAGACGGGCGTTTTAGTGTGGTTTATAGAGAGAACGTGTCCAACGGATGTTAGAATATTCACAGGATTCACAGAATAGCTATGTGTTGCTGTTACACTGGGAGCGTATCTCACTAAAATTGGAATGGGCAGCCAGCTTTTTGCCCAAGTGTCCTGTGTGCCACCGTCTTTGTGTCTTTGTCCACCATACTTTGTCCTTTAAACATAGTTATGGAAACTGTTTAGAGGCAGGAATTGTTATCAGTTTTTATCCATTGACCTGTCTCCAGATCACAGTGGGTGATTGAAATGTGTGCTTAAAGGCAAATAACATAAGCTGAACTTGAAGTTCACGTAGCCTCTAACATGTCCAGGCATCTGCGTAAGCCTTCCTGCACACTGTCCCACTCGCCCTGAGTTCCCACAGTCCGTCCAAGCCTCACTCCTGCCTCCTCTGGTAACCAGACATAGCCTTCACTGGGCCAGGGAGGGTTACCATGGGCCCTGTCATGACACACAGGTAATGGATAACTCTTTTTTAGCTTACAGACCTTGAAGATCTATGTCAATTTTGAGACCTGAAATCTGTTACACAGAGCCCCCCCCCCCCAGATCTTGGCTTTTGAGGGTATGATAAACATTTGTAGGCAGATCATGTGAAGTAGAAATTATCTGCCCCCCTCCCAGGTCCCATCAATGAAGAGACGAGTTGCTGCAGATCCTGCTGCGCCAAAGCATGGTGTATCCCCACATCTATCCAGACATTCTGACCATGAACCAGGGTGGGAACGCCAGGTCCGCCACAGCCCAGTGCACACACATACAAACAAACAGTGTATCTTTACCCAGTGCACACACATACAAACAGTGTATCTTTAAAGTTTCCCTCATAAGCACACATGCACACACCTTGCCCTTGACACATGAAAACAAAATATAAAATAAAAATACTTTTCATTTTCTGACATTTTTGTTTTATAGTGCTTATGAAAATCAAGTAAATTGATTCTAACATAAAATACTGGGTTGTAAAAAGCCACAAAGTGCTACCAATTTCTGTGTCTGGCTGAGGATCAATCTCCCAGTCAAATAACTAACTAATTAGCCATATACATGTGCTCATACGGCAGGCTGTAGACATACACATACATACGTACACACATATATAAAACAACTATTTTTTAAGAACACCAAGCGAAGGCTATGGCAAAGTCTCAGAGTCAAGGGAAATTAAGGAGAGCAGAGCACTCAGGACAGAGTGGAATGTGTGGAAAGCCAAAAATTCCCAATCCTGATTAGCATTTCCAGAGGGTGATGCTGCCTGTAGAGGCAGATGGAAAGGAACTGTGTCAATGAATCGAAAGTTGAGACTCTGAAGGCAGCCACCAAACCAGCTGATGGGAGAATGCTAGACACTATGCTCCAATACCAGAAAAGAACAAACCTCTCTAATCACTGGCCCTGGCTGTGAGCTTAGGAACCCGTATGCCCAAGAGATGGAATTATGCAAACGAGAATGAAAAATAACAAAACAAGTGGAGAAAACAACAAAATCAAGGTCTTGCTCCTTGATTGGAGAGGACCTGGTTTAGTTCCCAGCGTCCATGTGGTAACTGACAACTATCTGTAATCTCAGTGCCAGAGGTTCTGATGCCCTCTTCTGGACTCCTGAGGCATTGCAATTGCAGGGTGCACATGTACTCACTCATGCAGGAGAACATTCATTCATATGTATAAAAAAAAAGTCAATGTCTTTTAAAAGAAAAACAAAACGGCAACAATAAGAATAAATGCAACAATAATCCCCAGATGATTTATAAATACTAAAGAAAAAAACCTGTGGATTTACTGTGAACAATTTCATGCAAAGAAAATTAATGACGTAAATAAGAGATAAAAGCCAACAGTGCTCTCTGTCTAGGAAATAGGTGGCCTGAGTAGTCCTAGATCTTACACAGGCATGAATTTATCTTTTAAAATCTTCCTACACAAGGTTGGTGAGATGTTCTGTGAACAACGATGCTTGCTCTGCAAGCATGAGGATGCAAGTTCAAACCCCAGTACCCATGCAAATGACTGCACATGGCT